TTTGATCAATAAATCAATTATATTTACACATAATCATTTATATTTTTTTGAATAAATGGGTTCAATCATCGATTGGAAATTGTAATTATGTAAATTAATTTGTTTAAATCAATTAATATTTGAGTTTTCGTATTTGACAACTGGTGACAGGTGTACCAAGTTATCTTTATGTTATTGGTTATATAACATACATGGATATAAAGGGTGTCCCAAAATTAACGATAGATTTGAATTAAATAGAAAACACAATTTTGGCGATTAACAAAGGCATCAAGGTGCTCAAAAAATCAGCATCCACTTGTTGATGCTCAATAATCCATTCAACGCCCCATTTTTACTAACCATAACCTCTCAGCTGCCAAATTATATATTTTTTGGGGTTGCCAACACTTTACTGCTCAAATGACAGCAAATTCAAATCTTTCGTTAATTTTGGGACACCCTATATCAGCGGTTGCCAATGTGTGGTTACTCATCATGTTAAGTTATCCTATTAGTGGTCCGCGGGATTTAAATTATGAATTAACTGGTCCGTGAGGTCAAAAAGTTTGGCGACCGCTGCCCTATATAACACACATGTTGATAATTTTAAAGTGACAGTGATGACAGGTTGAATTTTAGTGTGTCTTCACGTTTTATTTAATTACTCTATAACCACACATGTCAATTACATCAACAAAGATGCAATTTGAAGATAAAACTCCAGCCTTACTAATGAGCCTACTATCACAATTGTGCTTTTCACATTTCGCATGTAATAAGCTGTCACAGTTCAAAAAATTTATGTATTACGTTCGATTAAATAAGTTACCTTTGTATAAACGAAATAATGCGTACGCACTGAAAATAATAATTCTAACAAAAGGGCTAATCGCATGTAAAAATAAAGTTTTTTTTTTGCAAAAACTTCACTAGAAATCCGAAGCATTCATTTGTTACGGCGATAACCATTGAAGCTTATAAATATTCATGTTTACATGAGTGTAAAAGGGGTTGATTAAAGCATCGAAACAAAAATAATCATAATAATGGAACGCAGAAAAAGGATTCGGATTATCCGCCAGATCCAATTCTACAACTGGGTCGAGTCGAGGAGCATTAAATGGGAAAACGTGTGCATTCGCAATGTCCGAATGTTAAACGTGTTGTCAGATTGGTGGTAAAGGTTATGAAAACTGCCGGTAATTCCCGTTAATTGAGGAATGTAATCGGCGTAATGGGGTGACGGGGCTACGATTGTCGTTACGCGAGTAGAGAAGGGTCAACGACTGTGTGTGTGTGTTCTGTGCACAGCTTTCAGACTCATTAAACTCATGCAAATCGGACTCGACACAGCAGCAGCAGCAACACGTATGCAAATCATTGTAGCTTTAATAGAGACATTAGTGTTCATAATTACATTAGTCTCATATTCTAAATTAAACTTTAAATCATCTACAAAATATACATAAAAGAATAGTGTTTTATTTAGTAATAGTGTAGGTGCAGCTTTAAATTATAAAATGTCTTCTTCCGCCTGTCTGATTCGGTTACTTTTGCTATTTTCAATCTCTTTTATAGATTAAACAGTTGACGAATTCAGTCGGAATTCCAATGGTTTCAAGAATATTCCTTAAGATGGTCGGAGAAACATTATCAAAAGCGGACTTGATGTCAATGAACCTCTCCAATCTAGTTTTCAGCATTACTTCCAGGCATTTTTTCACCGAGAATATCAGCGCAATCGGTATGTAGCTGGCTGCCAGATCAAGGGCGGCTGATTTCTTAAAAATAGATACTATTTTAATTAAAAACCATGCTGATGGGAAAGAGCAGTTGTTGAACGCTTCAATATAGAGCATTAGGAGTCTCTGCTTTCCGATTTCCGTAAGATTTTTCAGCATTTTCGTTATTACTGTCCGAATTCGAATGGTCTGGTCATTAATATTTGGAGAGACGGACTGGAGAAAGTGTTCCTGAATTCGAGCAGAGTTGGGAGCTAACTTTCTAAGAAATTCTTCATGCCAATCTCTGTTCGCCTCTCTGTTCAGAGGAGTTGTCTTCCTATTGTGGTAATTGAACATTCTTCCACACGTTTGAAATTGGAGAATCCCTACTCAATGTCTCACAAAAGGCTCTGAAGTGAGAAAATTACGTAACTTTTGAATGCGTAAGATGGGCGCCACCCTTACGCGACTTTTTGTGAAACAAAAGTTACGTAATGTTCGTTACGTAGAAGACGTTTTTCAGATTATTTTTTTTCAGTTTTTCGTGAATTTCTCAACAACCCCTTAACATCTTCGTGCTGTCACCGAGTCGCCTGTTACGAGCTGTAGAAATTGAAAAAAAAGTGAACAGGATTTTCTTAAAAATCGCTGTTTCGTTGAGATCCGACGAGTTTCCACGTCCTTTTTTTAATTACATGAATATTACGTAAGTTTTGTCGCATTTCATGATTGCGTAACATGGGCGCCACCTTTACGCAACTTTATATGAAATTTGTTTGTCAAAATACGTCAATTAGAAATACGCCATCTTTTGGTTTGTTTTAGAAACTATCCAATTTAAACTCTAATTTCCATGGAATTGCTCTACGAAAGGTGGTTTCTTCAAGGAGATGTTTTATTTGAAGTGGCTACAATTTGTGGCGGAAGGAAAGTGGGAGGGAGACCGGAAGTGCGGCTCCGACGGCTGTGAGATCAATCACGATCGCCCGAGTGATGATGATATGCAATGCTCCCTTTATCCCTTTCATGCAATATACCCGATGTCGGGCAAACAACGGGAATCTACGTCTGCACGTCCGACTGTGAATCCTAATTTAGATTATAAAGAAATTACGTCTCGCAAACATCAAACGCGTATGTAATCACTGTAAACGGACGTTAATTAAGATGTCTGATATCCAATAGCTAAACTGAAGCATTTCTCTACCGTAATCTTCAGACTAATTGCAAATTAATTATGTTATTGTTTGTATCTGTCAATTAGGTTAGTTTTATAATTAGCATTTAGTTTAATGTGTACCAACATCAAAAATGTATATCACTAAATTTAGTTTACTTTGATTTGTATATATATTAAAGATACTTCCATAATCCTAACCTAATGATGATTTAAATGAAGTTGATATACTTGCAGTTGGTACTTTGCACACTACATAAGTTGATTTAAAAATTTGACCTAGCTAAATGTGACGGGGTTTCCAAAAGAAAACTCATTATTGGAAGAAGAAGATTTAAAAATTTGTTTTTTTGTTTGTTTGTAAGTAATGTGGATGCACTTTTATATTAAATCAATGACATTTCCGTTAATCTAACCTAATAAAAGTGACGTAAATGAAGTATGTGGTTTATATGTTAAATAAGTTGCATATAATACTTAGTGTTTGTCTCGTCAAATTTTGTCAACATTTCTTTTTTTCTCTTAATCAAGTAATATTTTTTATTGCTATATGAGATATACTGGTAAATTGTTATCCAATAGTTATAATAATTATTGTGTAAAGCATGAAGATGATGATAAATAAAGTGAGTAACGTATGCTTCCTGTTTTGGTTGGATGCGCACTAAATTATAAGAAATGATTGCTTGAATGCATGACAATGTTCGTGTTACATAAGAGTGTGTATTCAAGAGCGAAAACCCAGCATCCAGTACATAACGACGGAAGGAATAAAAAAAGAGAACAGAAATACCATGTAGAAAGGAGAAGGATAAAAGTAAATAAAAAATAAAACGAGCGGACTAAATGGATTTTGCAAAACTTGCTTATCTAACTGCAAGATATCACGCGCATCCCCATTCACCGTTAAATCGAGCCACGAGACAGTTGTTAGTTTTTTTTTCCTCTCATCTCATACCTTTTATCCTTCCTATAGTTTGCTTCAGCTTCCATCCGCGAATATGCAGTAAAGTCTGCACGAGTAAAAAAAATACAAGTTGCTTCGATTATCCAAACTCCTGGCAATTTGATAAACTACAGCTGCGAATTGAATTAAAATGGATAAGATCAAATCCCAACTTCTGCATCCATGAATATGTTTCCCTAATCTCGAGCATCGCATCCGTTTTCATAAATATTTACGTCACTTTTTCGATCCATGTGTGCCGTTACCTTTTTTTTCGTCTAGTTCTCATGTATTTGGAAAGGAAATGCTGTTGGCAATCTGCAGTCCGGAATGGACTCGATGCAAGTCATGCATATCGAGGCGTCCCCGGGGATCTTACTCTCCGCTGAGGTTGTCAGCAACTTTGTTAACTTTTGGAATAACTTTGTCAATTAATTAGGAAAATGTATGCGATTTATTTATTTAGATATTTCTCATCGTTGAATCGACACGAGTTAAATTAGTTTTGTGGAACGGAAAAAAAACGTATATTAGTAACGTTTGAACTTTGCAGACAACTATTTTAAATGGATTTTCCGTGGAAAACTTTCATTAATGAAAAATTAAATAAACAACAAAACAAAAGCAACTTTGAATAATAACAAAAAAAGTAGCTTCATTTGTAGCTAATATTTTAGGTTAGGTTATGTAACTTAATAATTTTATTTTTTCTGATTATTGGTTATTATTTAACTGTTATAGATTTTTAAGGTTAGGTCAAATTAGGTTAAATTGGTTTTCATTTTTTGGTACTAATACACTAACTTTCAGTATTTTATGAAAGTGTTGCATAACTAATTCTTCATGTAAGTTAAGTTGGATTTTTGTTGCAAAACTTTATTGAATATATTTTAAATTAACTAAACTGTCTTTTTTTTAGGTTACGGTGCATGTAAATGTTATATAACTGAATTAAAATATTTTTCTGATTTTTTTGTAAGGTTAAGTAAGATTAATTTTTATTATATTTAGGTTAGGTTTGTTATATTTCTTGAGAAATGAACTAAACTATGTTTTTATCAAATTTTATTTTACTTTATTTAACGTGTATGCGAATTTTATTTGTTTACATAAAGAAAGATCTGCTCATTCTCAAGTTTGTGCAAGGATGTAAATTCCTCATAAAATAAGCTTAGATATTACAAGAGCAACTACAATTACACAAAGGTCTACACATCTTCGGATGATCCATTGCTTGTCTATGATGATCCATTCCTCGTTTAGATGCGTCTTCTTTCCTCCTATCCTTGCTCCAACTCTCCAAGAATTTCACAGCGTACGGACTTATCGGCGTTTCCCTCTCCAGCTTAGTAATCCCATTGTGATCCAACTTCTTCAACTGAGGAATCAACTGGCAGATGATCGCACGCAGATTACCCAAGCTTCGATCCTCGCAAATCGGGTTCCCGAAAATTGTTAAATTATGCAACTTCTTCAGTTGTCGCAACTTAAGGATATCGCCTAGATTCTTCAGCTTGTTGAAGTGCAGATAAAGTACTGATATGTTGGGGAATTTGAATAGATCATCGTCGATTCCGACGATGTTGTTGTTGGATAGATCGAGGTATGCCAGACGTTCGGGAAATGCCATCACGGAGTTGACCATCAGATCGATGTTGTTGATGTGCTTTATATAATTGTTGTTGAGCCAGAGGGCTTTGGTCAGGTACTTGTTGTTGGCATCGCGTTCGACTTTACCTAGTCTCGAGGTGTTTGCAAATTCCGGTCCCGTTTCTCTGAGTTCTTTGCATCTTTGGAAGGAGTAATCCGCTGGTCTACCGGCATCCGACTTTGTCGTTTCGTTCACGTGGAAATCCACGATGGATTTCTTCTTGCACGTCCTCACGCGTCTCGGGGATTTCGTTGCAACATCTCCCACCTTCTTTTCGCCCATGATTTCTTCGGAAGCAAACAAAATAATGGATTCGAAATAATGACTTTCACAACACTTAAATTTAATGACGGATTTTCAGTTTGATAGTTAAAAATGTAATTCAGATTTGGATTTTAAATTTCCGAAACCTTTCGAAATCATAAATTTATATAGTAAAAATTCAATTTTGTTAGATCTTCAATCCTGAATGTTTCTTCCACAAACAAATATTGAAGTTACACAAAGAATAGACAATTTCATAATGTATGCAACTAAAGATACAAGTAATAGTACACACAACCAAATATACACATCTTTCGTTGTCTACGTTAGTACCAAAAATTGCAAATGTCTACAGTGATCTGTGTTGGTACCACAAAATAAAATAGTAGAAATCTAAATTGCAAAATATCTGTCTTGCTTTCATAAATTGCACAAATCTGCTTTCGTCTTTGTAAGTACAAAACATAGCAAAATTCTAACTTTCGTCTATGTTGGTTCTACCTGAATTACAAAAGTGGTACTACAAATTGAAAAAGTATACAGCGCTCAATTAGTACCACAACATTGAAATATCTGCTAAGGTCTATTAGTAGTACAAATATATTAATGGTCTATTGGTACTATAATCTGAAACAGCCTACAGTACCCTATTGGTACTACAAATTGAAAAGATCTTGAGCAACTTATCTATAATTTCTACTACAATCTGCAAAAGTCTAAAAATTGTAAAATTCTTTAGTGGTCTGCCAATACTACACATTTGGAAGGTACCAAGATTTCCAAAGGTTTATTGGTACTACAAATTGCAACGGTCTACAGTGGTCTATTTGTACTATAAATTTCAATGCTCTACAGTGGTACTACAAATTGCAAAAGTCCTTGACCTAAGTTAGTAACTTAAATTGAAAAATTCTAACTTAGGTGGATGTTTTTGCTACCTGAATTACAAAAGTGGTACTACAAATTGAAAAAATATACTGCGCTCAATTAGTACCACAACATTGAAATATCTACTAAGGTCTATTGGTACTACAAATGTATTAATGGTCTATTGGTACTATAACCTGAAACAGCCTACAGTACCCTATTGGTACTATAAATTGAAAAGATTTTGAGCAACTTATCTATCTTATCTAACTTATATATTTCTACTACAATCTGCAAAAGTCTAAAAATTGTAAAATTCTTTAGTAGTCAATACTACACATTTCGAAGGTACCAAGATTTCCAAAGGTTTATTGGTACTACAAATTGCAACGGTCTACAATGGTCTATTTGTACTATAAATTTCAATGCTCTACAGTGGTATTACAAATTGCAAAAGTCATTGATCTAAGTTAGTAGCTTAAATTGAAAAATTCTAACTTAGGTCGATGTTGGTGCTACCTGAATTACAAAAGTGGTACTGTAAATTGAAAAAATATACAGCGCTCAATTAGTACCACAACATTGAAATATCTACTAAGGTCTATTGGTACTACAAATGTATTAATGGTCTATTGGTACTATAACCTGAAACAACCTACAGTACCCTATTGGTACTACAAATTCAAAACATCTTGAGCAACTTATCTATAATTTCTACTACAATCTGCAAAAGTCTAAAAATTGTAAAATTCTTTAGTAGTCTACCAATACTACACATTTGGAAGGTACCAAGATTTCCAAAGGTTTATTGGTACTACAAATTGCAACGGTCTACAGTGGTCTATTTGTACTATAAATTTCAATGCTTTCAGTGGTACTACAAATTGCAAAAGTCCTTGATCTAAGTTAGTAGCTTAAATTGAAAAATTCTAACTTAGGTCGATGTTGGTACCAAAAGTCTACTGTAGTTTTCTTTGATACCAAGCTTAGGTTCGGTAGTTCATTAACAAATATGAGTAACCATATATTCTCTGATGTACTGAATAACTTGTTGTTTCTTATTACAAAATAAAATGAATGTTGTAAAAGAAAATTTGTATAAATATTTATTTATTACGTATATTTATTTGATCGATCGTTCAATCCATCCGCATATATCCTTATGCTTTTAGTCGAATGAAATGTGCAAAGACACTTGAGACCCGATGGATGCCCAAGGCCGGCAATACCTCTTCTCCTACTCACCCTTTCCTTCTGGATGGGAGGAACAAGAACAACAACTCCGAGGAAAAGAAAATAAAAGAAGACAAAACAAAACAGCAGTATCTAAAACGAAAGGAGAAGAAATAAAAATTGGGAGATGGAACGGCGACCGAAATAAAAACAAATGTTGTGTGTCAACGAGAACGCTAAAAGGATTATCGATTTCCGAACGATGTAAACTGGATGTTGGAATCCATCTCGCAGTTCAGGATCGTCCATTTTTTTTGTGGCTCCATCTATCTGCGTGCGTGTGTAAAAAGTGCCAATTGCCAGGACTATAAAGTTAAGCAGAGGACACGCGATTTAAGGGACGAAGACAACTGCGAACATGCGCCTCCGATAAATAAGGATTGTTATGATGCCGAATGATTCTGTAATGAGGCAGATAAATGTTTATTATTTTTCTGCTACGCTCCATGAAGATCCCATTGTGCTGACCCCTTTTTTATATATCTCCTTCATCGTCCATAAATCCTGGAAATCAGACGTATCCTAAAATTAAAGTAGTTCAGTTTTTATATTTGATGATTTTTTATTAGATTAAAGTAGACAGAATACAATTTAATTTACTTCAAAGTTATAGGTTGATGGAATAATGAGTTAATAAAGAAAAATAATGGTACTACAATCAATAAATTCATTCAATTTTTTAGTTATAGTTTTTAAGTTGGTATTATATCTTAGGTTTTTGAAAATGACATAATATGACTTAATTATAACCTAAAACTAACTCAATGTTGACATTTTCAATTGATCCTTTGAATATATATTAATTATAAAATAATTAATTATTAAACTTAAACAGTTTTCAGTATTTATTTATTTATTTTTTTTAACTTTTATTGTTCATTCACAACCTGCCAACATCTCTGGCTATAAGTTGAATGCGTATTTATGTAGTCGTCGTTTTTAGTTGGTATTATGTCATAGGTTTTTAGAAATTACATGATGTGACACAATTTTAACCTAAAAATAACATAATTTTCAATTGATCCTTATAGTATCAAATTGACACTGTATTTTAATTGACACTTGTCATTTTTGACGTATGTCAAGTACATATATTAGGCTAATTGAATTAGATTATTTTTTTAATGAACTGAAGCATATATATTGATTTACTGATTAATTAATTACTAGTAAATTAATTAATAATTAATGCTTATTACACATAAAACAATCTTATTAAACAATAAACTAAAATTTATCAATTAAATTATATTTAGTTACTTTATGCATTCATAGATGGCGTGACTGAATTTTACCACGTTTTTAACAATTCGCTTCGGTTTCATGAGCTGTTCCAAATCGATTCGGCAGCGAAAGATTGCCGCATAAACAGTTAATATGAAAGACGTAAAAACAGCGTAATCGGCAGAATTCCGAACTAAACTATTCGTCGCCGAAGTTTCTCAATCAAAATCGCTACATTCAACATAATAAATGAATGGATGAAACCGACGGATGAAACAAACAAACAGACAGAATGAAACAGAAATACTTAGCGGCCGATAAAAGTCTATAGAAACTTTCCCTTTTATTGCCATTACGGCTCACGTAATTCGAAAACTTTCCGGACAGAAGCTGTTCAATTTTATTTGAAGCGTCCAATCGAGTCCCATTATGCAATTTATCACTCAAACTCCAATTAAACAAAATGCTATGTTGCCACCTTTTCTTTCCTTCTTAATTTTTCTGTAGTTGGTAATTATTTTCTTAGGAAATTTTATAATATCACTAGAAAAATGTATGTATTAACTAAATAATGTACACCTTAGATTAATTAAAAAATAAATTAAATATACTTTAACTAGTAAATGTACATATTTACTTATATATGCTTATTACGAAAACAGTATTTAACCAAACTTGATAGCGCCAACTTTCTTTTTGTCTTCTTATCTTATTTAACTTTTGTTTCATTTCTCTTCAGTTGTTAATTGTTAAACTTATTTTAATTATTATTTTCGTAGATTAACAAACTTAATGTTAATTAAATAGCTGCGTGGTACTTCTCAGGTTGCGCTTCAGCGGATGGGTTTAAAACGTTCATGCAAGGGGGAAGAGTGCAGACACCGGTAGTTCTTATGTTTTATGATTAGCGTTATCGTTCCCGGCTAGACTACATAAAATTTACATTCAAATTAACCCCGACGAGAACTCAAACGGCAAAAGCGAAAATCAATTTCATTTAAATAAAGACACCCCCGACATCACCGGACCACAGCGTAAAGAGGGATGTTTCACTTGTAAAGGAGAAAGTTGCCGTTACATTGATTTTATTTATTCTTTCATATTTTAGTCTAATTTTTTGACACAAAATTCAACTTTATTTAAACAAAAAAATATTTTATTTACACACAATCTGTAAATTTGACATATGTCAAATTCATATATGTCATAAAGACATTACTTCTGACATATAAAATGTACTTAAGACAAACGTCAAACGTCATATATTTATTCGACATACGTCATACGACAATTTGACATAAGTCATAAAGAAATTACTTCTGACATATAAGATGACATTTTTTTTTAAATAATAATGTTTAGTGATAATTATACAATATAAACTTTATTTAAATAATTATATCTATTGTTTACAAACAATCTGTCAATTTTTTTATGTGATACGTCAATTTGACATACTTTTGACATAAAATATACTTATAACAAATTATTTCTTTTATTTTCAAACTCAAAAGTGAACAATTTATTTCTATTATGACAGATCTAATGATTTAACATATGTCATTTTACTATAACCATCTATCTAATATATCAACTATATATAAAAACTATTAACAACTTATCCTGAGATGAGAATAACGATTGGATTTCGTTTATATTATATTTTGTTATAAGTGCGAGAAAAGGTGAAAGGG